ATTTTTTTCCTGATGATCAATTCGTACATTAAAAAAAAAGTTATCTCATATAATCAAAAGTAGACATCACAATTAGCTGGCCGCCAAATTGTCGAATATTGTTATCCAAACGTTTTATTTTTGTTCTTTTCCAGTGTCATATCTGTCGAATAAAGTGATATATTCTGTTCCTGAAATAATTGTTTCTTTTTAATTTATTAATGCTTGAGTAAAACTTATAACAAATCCACAATCCTCCCGTCATTGTTGTGCTTAATTAACTTAACCACTGAAGAAGAATGCTTTTTTCCTTAGACAAAACAACTTGACAGCTACAAAAACTGACGACATAGCCGACTGGTTGTAAAAGGCTATAAAGAACTTTCTTTATAGTGAGTAAAAATCTTCCAGTAACTACAATTTGTAAAATTCTTAGTTTTGTTTCATATTATATTACAAAGGAAAAAAGATCTCAAACTGGAAGGTTCTTCTTCGCCAAGTGAAGATTTTCTGATGACTCCCAAGCAAGAAAATTCTACCAAGAATCGCACCAAGTGTGAAGCGTTTAGCGTATTAACTTTGTCTTACTTTATGTTTAATACTCATTGAGATAGAAAATTTACATATTGGTTACTATCCCCAAAACATTTGGTCGAATATACATTATTCAATATAAATATCGAAGTAACGCCACGTGGCTACATTGAGTACTAGAGCATTTTCTTTCGTTAATTACCAGTAGTTTTCATGTACGATGGATAAAATACTCATTCATTGTATGGTGTTTCAGTTGTTTTTCACTCACCCCAGTAAACCTGTACAGGATATGAAGAATACTAGCATTGATACTAGTGATTCATTCTTCTCACGTTTCAGCAGATCAGCTGTTTAAGTTACTATAAATAAACTTGAAGTCAAATCTATCATTTGATTCACCACTTGTCACCGAGTTACACCAGTTTCGGAAATGAAACCGGTTTAATTCAGTGACAAGTGATGAACCAAATCAGAGATTGGTCTTCATATTTATTTCTAGTATTCAATAATTGACGCATAGTGTGGTGTTACAGATAATAAATTAGAAAATAACTATACGGAACTTCTCGAAACACATAACTAAGTTCATGATGACGAGAAACCCACTTGAAGTAAAAATGTATAGCTGAGACGGCTGGTATTAAAAACTTTAATTAAGATAAAGTATAAGAACAGCGTTTCGACCTTCTTAGGACATCTTCAGGTTAACCGTCTCTGCTATACATAACTAAGTTATTACTTAACACAACTACAGTGAATAACTGAACTTGCTTCTTTTGTGAGAGATATGAAGACGTCTGTCCTATAAATTACTAAACAATGCACCACTCTGTATAAAGTAGCAATTGTCCGAAACGTCAGCTACAAGGAACCTGTACTCTTTAAGAATATATTACTGATAATAGTATAAACATTTCAATCATTAAGAGCTCACGGAGTTTGGAATTGTTATTAAATGATTTGGTTCATGGTTATTTACAATTATTTCATAATGTATCTTTCTCGTCTCTTTATTCTTTTCTTAGTTTACTGAATCAAGATCGTTGCTTAAATCAATTGTAATAATCTCACCAGAATGTTTGTACTAAATCAAAAACACAATACCTTATTGCAACCAATTAATAAACAACTGCTTATTTTTGTTTATTGGTTGAAAACGCATAATAATACGTGCAATGCACGTTTCTTGTACATATATAGCAATATTCTGAACTAAGCTGGATAAAAAACCACAAGTCCAACTCGATTAACTAAAAAAAATACACGAATATATAACGGAATAATTTAATCCACGCTGTAAATTAAGAAACAAAAAAGATTCGTTAGCTATTTTAGTTGAAAACGCTATTGTATTTAATTGAACTTCCATAAATCACTTTTTGGTTTTGCTAGAAACACATAGTTAATTACTATGTGCCTTTAAATCCACTTTTATTTTCGTACACATTCCAACAAGCAACATCACTATTGTTTTTTTTTATATCTGATAAAATGACTCTAGGAAAATACATTTCTCTTATTCATTCTAATATAAAACAATGATTAAGAATTACTTTTGTCTCTGCTTTTATAGACCAGTGAAAGTAGCACACAACGAACAAATTAAGTCTTACATAGACCGAAAATAGGCTAGACTTCTCAAGTGATTTATCTCTTAGACCAAGATATTTATCGTATTGTCCCTCTGAAGGGTCAGTGGTAAGTTTACGAAATTAAAAGGCAAAAATCGGAGGCTCGATTCCTATCGGTGATTAGAGCGCAGATGCCCATTGTGCCAAGAAACAAACAAAAGCTCACCGTATCTGTAATCGCTACAACATATGAATTGCTTTAATATTTATCTACTCTGAAACTACAAAGTCACAGTTAACTCATTTATATGAATGCATTAACGATATGAAAGAATCCGGCGACTAAAGAGAGGCGATTTTGTAAAACACTCTTCATGACTCTATTATGCCAATGCTCCCCAATGTGACATATTTCGTATCATACGCACTTTGAAAGAATGATACACCTAGTATTCTGATTAAGAGTAAGTGTTGACATCTAGCGGTTGCGCTCTTAGTTCATGTACTTCTTTTAATTATGTACTACAAGCAGATTTGTGACTCTCTGAATTAGATACATAAATTACGAACCTAAATTTTGTTTTCATTTGAAATTGTTTTCTTATTAGTATATACACAATATTCATTTTAATTAGTTTAAAGCCCAAGTTTCGACTTCCGAACGAACCAAGTCTAATGATACAGTTTTCAATATCTGGTCCACCTCCCATCATGTGGTTCTGGAAAGATTGCATAACTACGGAAGGGAAGCGGCAATATAATATCTGATCCCTCTTTGTGGTCCGTCAAGATATGTACAAGTCAATACAAAATAAATTTTGGGAACCATTACGTTATTCTAATCCCAAAAAAAGCTGTAAAACGAAGAAAAAAAAAGGTTGTTTTAAACTTCTCTTTATTTGTATTGCACCTACCCTCCAATAGATTTCTCACATTTTACAATTATTCGAGTAAAAATTATAAATTTGATGATATTAGGTGTTACTTCCGTGAAACATTATCAACAGATAAAGCATAGTTATGTGCAAGTTAAGAGATGTAAATGAATAGTTATTCTTAATATTAGTGTTCCTAATAATCTATAGCCATTAATCATCCACTGGTGTTATAAAACTCACGTCAACATTGAAAACGCTATTGTTTGTACATATTGTTTTCTCTTTACAAACTAATTGGGGGGAAAAAACCTTATCGAAAGAATATTGTTTGTTTTTCTTCTTTTATATAGGATGTATTTCTCAGTAACTTGAAACAAACAAAACTTTACGTTTAGCGTTATCAAGTCTTTTAGGGTCAAATTTAATCCATCTTGCACTATGTTATAATTCACGCCGAGAAGACAAGTAGCGAAAAGCACTTGCACGTTTGAATAGTTTTAAGTTATTAACACATAAAACCCAACAAAACTTTAACGAACCACCAGGTGTACTTAAAAAGTCTATCTAGTTAACACTATTTCAATCGCTTACTGTCTAGCGGCAATTTCCATGGAAAAAGCAAACTATCAAAGAAAATCGATTTTTTAAATTATTATGTAATTATAAAGACGTACGTGCTCTAAAAAATATGTTTTCTTTCGTTATTGCTAATGTCTTCTTTGTTGAACATTAACACCCGCTTCAATTGCATCCATTTTACATATACTTGCTGACGTAGCAGTTCAACGCATGGGGGCGCCCCAAGCGGTGAGGGGGTGAAGAGTCAGATACGAATGCTATCCCTTCTACATTACTCCCTAAGGGCATATGGCAGGTTTGGTAATGATCGGTCTGGCGATTTGCCAATTATAAGCGGTCATACACAAACATACTTTTGTCAAACAGTGGTTTAGATATACATGTACTTGGAGTGAAAATTGTGCAGTTAACAGTTTATAAGATAATCTCTAATTCTAATTATTAATTAGTTACTTTTCTTTTATTACTAGAAACCAGTCAAATGGATAACACACCAGCCTTTCTAACAAGGTCCAAGATCGGATCCTACCACCACAAACAGTCCTCCAAACTTCCCTAAAGGCAGCGGATTAGCACATTACACATGACATATAAACTAGTTAGCAATCAGCAATTAATTAGACTTAAATGATCGTATAGGCTACTAACCATGTAAACGACATCCAATCTCCACAAACTTGACATAAATACTAAAAATGTTGGTTTGAGAGCTTTTAATGGAACTACTGCAAATGTCTACTGAGTGAAAAGAGTACGACGTTTCAGCTTCTATACTGAGGCCTTCTTCCAGTATAAAAGCCGAAACGTCGTCCTCTTATCACTCAATAGACAGTTGTAGTCCATTAAAAGTTCTCAAACTTATTATATTTACCCTGCCTAAAGTTTCATTGAAACTAAAAATGTTATATTTATCATATTTTCAGGGTTACCTATCCTTAACCTATCAGATACTCATTAGTATTTTAAACGATAAAATTATTTATGTATGTATCGCCAACTTCATTATAAATACCTACTTTGTTATAAGTATGTGGTGTTCACAGCGAGAAATACGTTTCTTATACTTGCCTACTAATTTACTGTGTACAATGATTGAAGTTTTTATTGACCCATTCATCAACAAAATTTTCAAGAGTTTTAAAGTGCTCAGTTGAAGAACTTACTAGACCTGATTCATATGTGAGAAAACAAAACATTTGGGAATTAAAAAGATTTGTAGATCAAGACTTTGCCCAAGTATGATGAAATACTGGTTAGTAAAATAACAGCATTGAAGTTTTAAATGTATTGACCACAATGGCACATGTAATACCGTAATGAGTAGTAGATACAACGCAATCTCTTCCACTCTTTCAAATATGAACGTATTGGCAGTTTCTATCAATCTCTTCATAAGATCACATTTCCTTAGCACCAAGACGGGTAAAAACAGAGAACACACAAGTCATTATAGTAATAATTATTATAATGTTTGACAACTTTTAATACAGCTAATATTCTGAACACAAGAATAAAAAAAGTTCAACATACTGAAATCTAATTTTCATTTTAATTCAATTCATGTATAAATGTTTGATACGAATCTCAGACTAGAGTAAACAAACCATTTCTAACCCAACAATCTACTTCACATCAGATTCAAGCAGCAACAGCAATACTTGTGTATGTATGGTCACATCGATACACATACAGGATATCATCTTCACTCTTCCCATGGTCCACTTCATCTCAGTATATTTGGATATCACTTTAAACAATTAAAAACGTACTCAAAATTATGATCAAGTTACCTGTATAAATTCAGAGTATAAAACAATGTCAAACTACTTCAAATGTTTAAAATTATTTTATTCATTTATGCATGAAGCCATAATATAGATATAAAGATTTTCTACCTATTCAAGCTCTGTTTTTTTTTTCGTTTTTCAAAATACTAAATTGCTTTGATTTTAAACACTCATTCTAATTTCAAAAACTGCACTAGCATAATACTGCACATTCCTGTAATTTTTTTACAGAGCTGAGAAGTAAATGTGCAATAAATTACTAAGTTAAAACACTTACTAATGGCCCTGTATGTAAAAGGTTATTTAATAATTGGGCAAAAACACTATACACATCACTGTAAATTTAAGCTGAGGAGAAATAAATACTCTAGAGAATCAAATACAATGAAAATAGGAGGTAGATACATTGATATTAGTTTTTTTTAAATATATTACAATTTTATAGAGCAATATACCTTAAAAGAAATAATGAACCTAAAACAGTTTATTCAATACTTTTAGAAGAAAATTTGAGAAATACCTATAGAACTACAATTATAGCATTATCACGACAATGGCAACAGTAATCAGTTATATATTACATGAAGAAACAAATAAACAATGTTTTAAAGAGGGTAGAGTCACAGCTACAGGCACGAAATGGCAAAACACATAAGTAGGAGAATAAACAGGAGAATCATCATTACTTTCATATAATATTTTTTTTCTATTTTCTGAATAAGAAATAATGTTGTGAATAGTAAACAGGAAACAACTATATACAGTGGTGCTGAAGTCCCATTTAAAGTATCATAGAATAAAAATGATGGCTCTAAACATACAATGAAATGCTAAAAGACAATAAACACTTCTTATATTTTATGGACTACAAAGCTCAGGTCTCCACTTCCTAACTAACCATAAAATTAAATATTCATATTCTCAATAAAATGGCACTGTATGTCAGGATCATCAAATATCTGAGGAATTACCATTCAACACCAAAATGCATCATATCTGAAATATCATAAAATAAAATATTTTTTATTAGCCTAGGTTTTTTGTTAATTCTTCAGTGTAATAACCTGAGTAAACCTAAAAATAATGAAAAAAAAGTTAATTAAAATTCCACCCTCAAAACATTTGTTTAGAAGTCTCCATTTTACATTCTCATATTTTTGATGCTCCAAACATTTGATTCTTATTTATGACTTATTCATCATAGTTCTAATAATAGCTTATTATATTCTGGAGACTAGTAAGAATCTTAAAAGTCAATATTTCTAGTTGTACACTACCTAAACTATTAAACACCTATATGTGTGTGTGTGTGTGTGTTTGTTTATATTGATGCAAGTGGTGTGGTTATGACTGAAAAATTTTCTAATGACATCATTATTCCGAATAAAAAAAACAACTGACTATTAAACAAATAAAACACACCTTGTACATATTCACATCATTCAGAAACCTTAAAATTCCTGACCACTTTTTTTTTATACTCATACTACAGAGAGTAGCTACATCCTAGTTAAAACTATAAAAAAAGAAAACTTTAAAAAACACTGTCTGACAAAAACAAAAAAACAATAACGTATCATATACATGCATTCATTTATTTTCTGCCACATCCTGTGGCTTCACTTCCTGAGGTGCATGTTGTGGTTGCAGGTAATGGACACTGAAACATTTTGAAGGGCTGTGCTAACTTATGTAGGACTACTACTCCTCTGGGGAGTATGCCACAGCCAATATTAAGTTCACTCTAAACCCTTCCTTGCTAGACATCCGTCCATCACATCAATATGTTTGTTGCTGAACATCTAGTTGGTGACATTAGAAGTCAGCAAACTCTTTTACACATTTTTCTGTTCCCGATACACGCAGTGTCTCCTCTTCATACTCATCGAAGTTGCTTGTGTCACCAGGTCCTTTGCACTTAGGAAGAAAGGGTGCTTCAACCTGTAGTGGAAGTATAGATATATATATATCTACAAAACCATAACTACCACCTCCGAAAGCAAATATTAAAGGATAAGTAGAAATGTTTGAAAACTTGATTCAATTAGAATTCACTGAGTCTTGTGCAATTATATTAATATAACATAAGTCCAGTTCCTATGCATACTGAATCAGGGATTATAGGGTTATAAAACCAATATAACCAGTGGTTTTATGTGGATTAAACAAACACAAACATTGACCAAACTTAGAATGAAACATACAGAAAAAGCTCTATTACAAAATTTTGTTTATATTTAAGAACAAATTACAACCTTTAATTTTTTTCACCCTGAAGTGTGAGTTGTAACATATATATGATATTACTATTGTGTATAAACTGTAGATGACAACACAATTCTTCAGTAAGGCAGGGATTGGTTACTTTCCAATTTCTAGCATTTTCTACTAAAATAGATTTAAACATTATCTGCTTTATACAAATAAGTATGTGAATCCAGGCTTCACAAAACTGAAGTCAATTATTTCTTAAAATATTATGAAAACAATCCAAGGTGTTACATTGTATGAAGTTGTTTACAACTACTGTATTAGTATCTTGTGATTATTAAACCTATATTTGGAGAATAGTTGAAAAAACAAAAGTATAAACTATGAATGTATAAATTACATTTATAAAAGAATGTTTCCAACCCAATGTTAGTAAAACCTTTAAAGAGAAACTGCACTAGAATAAAGTTTACAATGCATAAAAGGAACAAGACAATCTACAAACCAGCTTAAGCAAGTATATGTCAGAAGGCACAGGACTTAGTACATCCTTGAAAAACAGCTTTACCAGGTGGAAGTTTGCTATTCAGAAAACTACCAAACCAGCCACCAGACCAGCATGAACAAGTACATAGGACTTCAAGTTAGAAAATAAGAGAAATATTAAGGTTTTAATGCTTGTGGGTGCAGAATTAAACAGGAGAAAGCTAGCAGGGTTTACCACTAAACAGAATCAAATGTTTTTATTATTATATATATAAATATCAAACTTAACAAAACCTTTTATCTCACAGAGTATGTGATTTTAGAAATTTACAAACTCTTCAATGCATGCATTGTTCGATGGATTTGGATAGCCAGTGTCCCTCTCAATCATGAGATTCAAAATGATGAGTATCTCCTTTGGAGGTAACTTTGGAAATAAATGGAGCCTTTTCCTGAGATGAATTATATAAAATGTAACAGAACAAACACAAAATAGTGAGAAACAGTGGAAAAATAAATTACATAAGAAAAGAATAATAATAAAAAATAAACAAAATCTTAAGCATGCATAATTTCAAAATTTGAGAAAAAGAAATTAAATGATAGTTTAATTATTAAAAAAATAAAACAAAATGCAACTAACTCATTTGATTATCATTATCCAACAAGGAATGAAAACAATACTATTCAAATAAAGGTACAAACTACTCAATACAAATCAATATCAGTATTCTGTTCTAGCTGAGTAACAAAAATGATAGAAACAATACATAATGTTTCTTTTGTGAAATAATAATGCATTACAGTCATTGTACCAGTAAAAACCTCTGCAAAGCAACATCTTCTTCTGATCTGAAACCTGTACTTAGTTTTGAAATACAAAGTTAATTTCTGTTCAAATTTTATAGCCCAGCTTTAACTTTCTAAAAAGCCATCACTGTTGACATTCTACAGCATATTAATATTAATTTCCTAATATAAGCATATTTAAATAGCTCATTTCTGTACTGAGCATTTATACATTAATTACACTTTGGGTGTAGAATGGATTTAGCCTCAATTCTTCAGTAATTCAAAATATACAGAAATTATCTGTTACTTAGAGCCATTGAGTTGAAAGTCCTCATGCATAACTCCTTTCTGATGACTATTAACAAAGACTTCACAAGTTTTAAGATAAAAAAGTAATGAAGAAATAAAAGTTTACTTTTACATATATCTGTTGCTTTCATATTATCAAGTGTACAGTAATCTTTAAATAACATGATTTGACTGTAGTAACAAATGATGAGTAAGATATTAAGCATAAAACAAATGCTTACGGGTGATTATTTTACAACAGTTTTTGAGTTTAGCTTATACCTTTTTCTGATAAATTGCTATCCAGTCCAATGTTGCGAACCACTTGTGGTTCTTTATATCATTAACACCATTCTTGAGGTTTCCATATCGCTTAGTTAAGTCAACTTGCAACAGGTTTCGAAGTATATCTTTCAGGTCGGATGTGAAGTGAGAAGGAAACCGAACCTAAGAATATAAAAAAAAAATTATTTAAAAAAATCACCATTTGTTAAAATAACACATATATAATATAATTTATAGGTTTAAACAAGTAACAAGCATGTGACAAAAATTAGAAAATCAATTGATGGACATAATCTCTAAAGGAAAAAAAATAATAACAAAGACTGTAAACTGCAGGTGAGTGAGAATATCAATAAACAATTTCAATTGACTAGATGTGCAATGAGAAATCATTAACCTAGGAGTGTAAAATGCACATATTTGAATACTTTAAACTGAACATAAAAAAATAAAACTCAGTAATGTGTGTAACTGGTGAAAAACAACAACAAAAAGATATGTTTTGAAACTAAATAAATACAGCATACCCAGTGTGGAGTAGTTTTACTGAACTATTATAAAAACACTTATCAGCAAGCACAAAATCAGCCAACAGGATGCTACACAAAAAATTGCATTACATATCTGTAAATTATTCTCATAAAGAATTCTATAAATACCTGTATAAGTAAGCTTTTTATATTGTTAGTCATCTATTACATGTGAAAAAACTACGATATTATACATTTCACATTGCAGACTTGTGTCAAGTTTTATATTCTGTATTTGCAGTTAAAATGTTTTTATAAGCAAGTATAAAGAATATACCTAATAAGTTAAAGAATTCTCAATTTTTTTAATACTATTTTATAAAGGAAGTATTCAGCATTATTCTAAACTTTTAAAAAAATACATAGAAACATAAAAAAGACTATCGTTTTTACATCATATTAAACATAAAATTGAGCAATAACATTTGTTCATACTTTCCCAGACACAATTTTTTCATAGATTTGAATTGGTTGATCAGCAAAAAATGGAGGGTATCCAGCTGCCATTTCATACACCAAGACTCCTAGTGCCCACCAGTCTACTGCCTTATTATAGCCCTATGTAAAACATATCTACGAATAAGTACTATATAAAAAAGGCTTTAAACAGGTTCTCTTTGTGTCTATAAAAGTTTGTCATTACAACAAAAAAATATGCAAAGCAGAGCAGAGACCTATAAAATGCATAACATACACAATCAAGTTAACACTAGAAAAATAGATAAAAAAATCCTAACTACTAACTGTAAACAAATAATTATAATAATAATAAATGTACTGACAAACACATAAAATACACATGAATAACAAATGCAATATTTTATGGCTAATACACAGTTTACATGACTTTCCATAAATTCATGCTATTCATGAGCACTAGAGATAGATGAGAACAAAGACTGTTTTCTATTTTACATTAACTACCTTTATTCTGTGGTAAGTTGTAATCAGGTTGTGAAATTCACTTTATGCTTAAGAACACAGAAGTTAAGCTTGGTACATTAGAAAATGTAGAACATTTCAACAATTTTTTTTATCGTTATCTTTCACTGTTTTTGTAGAGATCTTTATTCCTTCACATGTTGATAAAAAAATGTTTTAAAAAATATTAAGTACACGGGAGGGAGATCACTGCTATGCCGTAAACATAAAATACCAAGTGCAAATTCCATGTTGCACAAGCCTTCACTCCCACAAAATAACAGAAACATCTATTTACAGGCTGAAATGATTCATTAAGTTGTCTTAGCCATTGATATTTTTTAATGCTATTTACAATGAGCAATGTTTCTTGTTTTAGAAGGTAAAGTGAGTGATCATGTAATGTAATACAGTTAATACTGGAATAAAAATGGTGCTGAGCTCCCTTTCTAGTATTACTTTATGAATATAGCAGTCTTTTCTTTACAACTAAGATAGGTGACCAAAACTGGTAATGTATTCAAATTTAAAAAATATTTAACAGTAATATACAGACACTGAACATATTCAACCAGTAGATTAGATAATATTACATGATACAAACATTACTAATTTTTATCGAATTTATGTTTTCTTATAGACCAATTTTTACAATGAGAAAATTTTGGAGCAAACACCAGTTTAATAGTGACACATCTAAATCCCAGTGTTCTTAAGCCTAAGTATTAGTTTTGACTCATTAACACATTTCTACTAGTTACACAACATGTTCCTCTGAAATAACATAAATCATGTGTTAAACACTGTAAAAGGCCTAGTAATTTTTATAGAAAATTAGCTTACTGAATGCATAGAAATAAAATAGCAAATAATATAAACATATGTATATATTTATATTCTGTTAACATTCAAAGGTTTTAGTACAGTATTTAAGGTTTTTCATTAAAGAAATTAGTAGCATTACAAAACTTGAAAATTATGTAATCTGTTTAACATACATCTAGCAAAAACAACAACCAGCCAACCATAATACCAAAAGATAATAGGAGAAACAATCTATGACTGACTTTCAATCACACAGAAAAACAACAAAAAAGTTTACTGGTTTATTAAGAATATTATCATTTGAACAAGATTTTTATAGGAAAAAAAAAAGACAAAAGGCATTTTCTTATGATTATAATGTGTTATAAGAGAGTAAATGCTTTGCTGTATGTTGGTTGTTCTAAAACAAATGCCAGAGCTCAATAGATTACAAATATTCCTACCATCTCTTTGGAACACCAACTTCAAAAATGTATTGTTACAGCTCCAAAGTTACTTCCTGAACTTTAAAAAATCATTATCTAGTATATTTAAAATTACTTGCTTACTATTTGAAACATTGCTTTAGTTAAATTCTAATGCATGTTTAATTATGGTAGCATAAAACAAAGAAACTAAAAACACCAAACAGCATGAAAAAAATAGTAAATGATATGTACAAGGTAAGACTACTTCTTACTACAACAAACTAACAAAATTGAAACATTGTAGTTAAAAATGCTTACATGTCATAAGTGTTCTTAGAATTATAGTTAAAATGACAAGTGATAAGAACAAAACATTTCAAACTAAGTTAAAATGAAAGCCTTAACAAGCCAAAAATGTAAACTGTTAACATGTTGCACAGAACGTAAGTTTTCAATCAAACCTGATCCAGTCACACGTCTCCCTCCAAGATTAAAGGCTTTCTTTCTCTTCACTGTTCCTAGTCTAGCTTAGGAGATTTGGCTTTGCTCATATAAAAACAAGTTTTTATCACTGTTATACCAAAAACATATTCAGACTTCAACTGTTTTGTTGTTGTTGTTTAACACAAAGCTACTCAATAGGATATCTTTACTCTGACACTGCACATGTTGTAGCCTGAACATTATAAGCCCTCAGACTTACCACTGAGCCATGGGAGCAATTTTTATAATTTATTTTCCCAGTTTATCAGCTACTGTTCTCACACATTTGCGTGATGTATTTATCTACCAATACCATCTATGTATATTGCACACTTCTGAGTTGGTTGAGAGCTAATAATTCTTGTTCTTTCTCATCTTTTTTTTATTTTTTATTTTCAATTTGCAGGGATGGAAATACTTTTTAAAGTTACATAAAAATAACTGTTAAACAAAACTAAACTGATCAGCAGTTTTGAGGTTTCATTTAAATAGTGGTAAAGCACCCATTCTTAAAACTTAACACAGTAAAAAAATTTCAAATCCATCAACCCATCATGTTATAGTTCTGTAATCCTCTCAGCCTTGAGGTGCACATTGTACACAACAAATAGCACACCTGGCAAACTAATGTGCCCTTTTCCTTTGTACAATTCACAACAAAGCCACATGTTACATGGATCTAACCCAACAATATTATTTTAGACCTGACATCACCATTACTACATGACCTATTCTAACAATTATAAGCAGTGTTAAGTGACCAATCATGTATATTAAGTTACATTTTGAAATACCATTTGAAACACGCACAAACCCTTCACGTAAATGTAAAAGTTAAAACATGCATATCTTAAGATTTTTGGGTATTATTTTATTAAATATTAAGAGGATATGCAAATGCAATAAGTAACTGACAAAATGTTTCTGTAAAAGTAACAAGGTAAACAGAAGGATGGAGATATAGGTCTCTTTACTACTTCTGGAGTTAATTTGAATTAAAATCACCATAATTCTTAATAGGTAGTGAAGCATGGAAAAAACTACCTGACCCTCCTTTGCTATTTGAATTTATAGTGGTTACAAGCATTAGTGATACACATGATTAGTACTTTTTTACTGGCTGTCTAACTATGCAAGTTCACTTGATCAACTATATCAACAACAGGAGTCTTGAGGAAATCAAACAAAAAGACAAAGGCTTCTGTTAAAGTTACAATTAGGAAAATAATGAATTACGAGAAATTTTGTACCACAATTAACACTGTACCTCAGGAAAACAGAGTAGCATTTGATCAATACTGCACAACACAATGCAATGCAATTAATAGCTGGATGATTAGTGGTATTTATTTAGTAAATGATTAATGAGTCCATATATTAATTGATTAAATTAAATTAATAAATGCCCTCTACAACCCATACATGCAAAAAATAAAACTACGAAAAGAAAAAATAAAAACTGGATGAGTGTGACCTTTATAACTTTCTCAACCACTGCATTTTTGTAAGTGGATTTAATCTTCATATTTTCATTCACTTTGAGTTTTTTAAACAATTTTCATATTATTCTTGGTTTCATATGATAGATCTATTCTGAGTATCACCATTTCCACATTTTGTGAAAAAGAGATATATTTTGGTTTTAAAAAATACTTTGAAACAAATTTTATGGACACTTCCTACTTAGCAAATGAGTCGCTAATGGCAACTAAAGACCATCACGTGGTTGCTATTAAGATTGCTTTTAAAATGTACAGTAATCCAACACTGATCTTCCGTAAATCAAATTAATCAATAACTAACTAACTAAAACATGTTTAATCATATCTGATTGATGTAATAGTTTGTTTATTTTAAAAATATCACAATTGTAATTAGAAATGATTTAGTAGCCACTTAGTCAATTTATTTGCATACATTATTTGAATAGAATAAATAAAAATAATATTGAATAACAATTTGAATCATCATAATGTTTTGCAATTTCCTAACATACTCACTAAACAGCCTAGTGATTAGGGCACTTAACTTGCAATCTCCAGGTCATGTGTTTGAATTCCCTCACTGAACATTCTAACCCTGTCAACTGTGGGGGCATTATAATGTGACAGCCAATCCCACTTTTTCTTGGTAAAGAGTAGACCAAGAGATGGATGTGGGTGGTGTTGAGTAGTTATCTTCCCTCTTGTCTATCACTTTTAAAAGTAGGAACAGCTAGTGCTGATGGCCCTCAAGTAGCTTTGCATAAAATTCAACTCACTAAACAGTGACATTATTTGTTTCATGATGATCTTATTTCATTTGGTAAACATAAAAAAAAAGAAACTCATTTTTAAAAACATTGCAACTCAATAAAATATAGTATGTCTACTACAAAAAATAAAAACAATGTAATTTTGAACATAGAATCAAATATCAATAAGATATTTTTATTAAGCCTTGAGCAATCTCCAAACATGCGACTTCCTTGTTTCTTACTGTAAATACATGTACCTGATAACGAAAAAACTTTCCCCAAATAATGTACACTTGTTATTGTGTTAAGTGTATATTAAAGTTTGCTTTGTTACCAATTCAACCCATCTCTAAACTGTTCAAGCTTACCTTATCTCAAGTTACCTAGTGTCTTCTCAATGAAAGAGATTTCTGTAAGCTTTCAAACAAATATAATTTAGCACAAATACTTTCACAAGTTACAACAAAAGGAATGTTTAGAGAAACCATAAAACAACTCTTAAATCTACACATATTTATTAATACATGATAGTCTAATTCTTATTTTATCCAATCACATTTAAACTTTCTTTATAGCAGTTTTCAAAGCTTATTTCATTATTAAATGATCAAACCACCTGGTGTGCAATAGTGATGTAACAATATATTAATATATTGTGATATGCTGTATTGTATCAGCAGCACTTG